ACCACCAACATTGTACTTGATCCTGGCTCACCACGGACACGAGCGTCCATATCATAGGACGTGATCCTGGCTCACCACGGACAGGAAGAACGGTTCCATCTCATACGTGATTCCTGGCTCACACACGACACGAACATCAGTGTCCTCAGGGTTTCGTACAGTCACCTTACTTGCTCAGAGACGACAAGGTTTGATCCGAGGAAATGGCGGTATAGCTGCGGTTTCCTGGATCAAAGACCTGATGCCTGCAGAGGCGCAGGCATCAGGCAGCGGCTGCGTCCTGAGTCTCGAGCGCCTAATATCGATTCACTTTGAATGACCTTGTACATATCGTAACCTTTTTTCTTAGAATGATTTTTTCAAATTTTTGTTTCTAATTCAAACTCAAATTTTGATTCGTTAGACTATTATGTCTGGTGGTTGCAGCAGGTTATGTCTGGTGGTTGTATCTGGTTGTTATGGCTGTTGGTTTTATCTGGCTGTTATGGCTGGTGGTTTTATCTGGCTGTTTTGGCTGGTAGTTCTATTTGGCTGTTATGTCTTGTAGTTGGGTTGTCTGGACAACAATTGGTGGGAGAGTTTTAAGGTAGTGTGTGCTGGCTGACACTGCAGTGCCCCCCGCCACACTGTGGTATCTTAGGCTAGTATAAGAGTGAATACAAGATACAAAGACCACAGTTGGTCTGGAATGCTCATCTTTCTCGGGGGGTGGGGGGTCAGTGGCATAAACCCAGCAGTCGGGGGTTCCTGGGGGGGGGGGAGACTTCTTCCATGTCGGCTAAGTTCCTACTGGGCTGTAATAGAATATAATCAACACGCCCTCCTGACATATTACAATATGTCCTGGTTATACTAGGCGAGTCTACGCCTCTGACCTGTGTTTGGGTGCCGGACAGTCCATGACGGCTTCAGTGGTCAGTTCTACTCGCCTAACATCTGACCCTAGGCACTGCACGGATTCATTAGACTGATATTGGGACAAGCCGAACTTACTGGCTCATTGAAGCAGAAGTCCTTGACGTTACTACGTCGCTGAAGCTGGTATGGATGGCACGATTGAAGATATGACGTCGGACATCTTCGTTACTTTGGCCACGTTAACCTCACCCTACTTGGCCATCGCTCGTCCATAAGTTCAGCTTGTGAACTGTATCTGTGGATAATGTCAACAGTTCGGAGAACTACTAGAGATACTCGCTTTAGCAGAGATAACATTGGTAAACATTTCATCACAGTATCTTTACTTCAGTTCCCCTTAATATTCGTTCCAACACAAATAAGCGACACGGAAAGTACAATGTTACCACGGTACTTGTTCATTCGCTAATGCGTCCGTAATTATTCAGGACAGAGTGTTTGGCTCCCGTGCTGCAGAAAATTTCTCCGCATGTGACATGACGTGACAGGTGACATGTGACAGAGGTCAGTCATATAACAGGTGACATATGGACTGTGGCAGTTTATAGGTGACATGTAGCCTTAATAACCATCGTGTACTCAAAAGACTTTAAAGTAACGCCCTTAAAGAGGGGGATGTCTTGATGCTGGAGTAGAGCTCTTGATCCATGATACTGGAGCTATCCTTCCTTCCTTGGATCAACCTGATTCCCTGGTGGCTAAAGCTCCCGCAATCACACACGGAGGGCCCGGTTCGATTCCCGCGGGTGGAAAACATTCGACACGTTTTCCCTTACACCTGTGTCCCGTTTCCCCTAGACAGCAAATAGGTACCTTGGGTGTTAGTCGACTGGTGTGGTTCGCATCCTGTGGGACAAGATTAAGGACCCCAATTGAAATAGGTTAGACAGTCCTCGATGACGCACTTGACGTTCTTGGGTTATCCTGGTGGCAACCCTCACGGGTTAAAAATCCGAACGAAATCTTATCTTATATACACCTGGAAAATCCTAGAGGGACTAGTACCGAACTTGCACACGAAAATCACTCCTACGAAAGCAAAAGACTTGGCAGACGATGCAACCATCGCCCCAATGAAAAGCAGGGTGTCACTAGCACGTTAAGAGACCATACAATAAGTGTCAGGGGCCCGAGACTGTTCAACTGCCTCCCAGCACACATAAGGGGGATTACCAACAGACCCCTGGCAGTCTTCAAGCTGGCACTGGACAAGCACCTAAAGTCGGTTCCTGACCACCGGGCTGTGGACCTCGTACTTGTTTGCGTGCAGCCAGCAGCAACAGCCTGGTTGACCCTTGACCAGGCTCTGATCCACAAGGAGGTCTGGTCCACAGACCGGGCCGCGGGGGCGTTGACCCCCGGAACTCTCTCCAGGTAAACACCTAACATACACAACACAGAAGACCAAACCTACCACATCCACACAACAGAGAACTTTTTTTTTAATATAGAATTATTTAAACACGGCATATAAATAAAACAATCATCCTGCCTATTGTGACTGACTGCTGCATGTGTCTCACTGCAGATATAGTAATCTAGCTGTGTGTCCCGTCATGCTAGAGGTGTTTGTTTCGTCTATATTAAAATGGTATACGTAAATTATTGGGTCATGTATGTAATGTGGATTAGCATGTATAATTAATATACGTAATTAGCATGTAATAATGGTAATAATTACAGTACTTAACGTAATAAAGACGAGTAACAACCTCCCACCTCGACGTCCTGGTCGTCACTGGCGTCTGGGGTTGATCATTTTTTGGACTTAAGTGGGTAGTTGTGGCCGACTGTCACCTCTCCACTACTATTCAAAAAATTTTAATTTGTTTTGTGAATGAGGATCAGAGTAAACTCTATGTATGTACTCCTGGTTTAAAGTCTATCGACACACGATGATTGTGAGGCTTGGCGTTATCTATACCTAACACCACTCAGGACTTATTTTATTCTAAATTGGAGGATTAGAGCATATTCCCAGAGTATATCCACCTAAAGACATACACTTCTCGACATATACACTCTTGATATACACCGAGATTACTATTCCATTTGTATTACGGTCAAAGAAAGTAATTTTGTCCGCCCGAGTTGCAACATCCCAATATTTCAATGACCTGGAGTTCCTTAATTTTCACGCTCAAAAGTCGAAATTATCAAAGCTTCAGCCTTACCATACATATAGAATTGTATGATCATTATTTTCTTGGCTAGATTTGTAAAAACAAGTGTGAAATAACGTAGAAAAATATAAAAAATAAACTCTTAGAGGGGTAACTATGTTATAGAATTGATCGTATATACACACAGCGAATTCCGAGCATATTTAATGTTTTATACTTTATTTGGGACTGATTTTTTACTCATGTCATTTGTCTGTTTCATGTAGGTTATTATAGTTCTTGTAATATATAAAACATGTTGAACCACAATGTGTAAGTTCCTTGGTGTAGAAGTTATATACTGCAATAACATAGAGACCAGCGAAAGGCCTCGGATGCAGATGACCAAAAGCTCCAACAGCGGGTCATCATCTAAGACCCTCGTCAGGAAACACTTGTCTTGTTTCCTGACGAACCTTACCCAACCTTGAAGAAAAACAGTAGGTCTGACGTCACCAACTATAGGCCTGTTAGTATACTCAGTTTGATATCCAAAATTCTAGAGAACGCTGTGCACTGTCAAGTAGTTAAGTATCTTAATGACAAAAACATTATCCATAGTTGCCAATCAGGTTTCAGGAGATCTTGACAGACACTAGTTAATCTGATGGACTATACCTGAGACCTGTAACGTCGTTAGGTGCTCTCAAAGTTATGGTGACCCCTAGACTTGCAAATGGCCTTCATATACGATGTAAAACCTAATATACCGTGTAAGAACTACAAACTACTTATGTGTACCTGTACCTAAATAAACTTGGTAGCGCACTCAGCTCACACACTGAGTGTCCGTGGTTCGATGCTCGGGAAGGATGGAAACACTGGGCATGTTTCTTAAGAACTGGTGTCCCTAATCACCTAGCAGTAAGTAGGTATATAATAATATGTCACTGATGTCAGCTATGGTCTGTATAAGTTGTATCATGTACTTCTAGAAATAAAGATTATTGTTAAGTATTATGGTAAGTGAGGGGTCCCGTCCTGGTGTAGGGCCCCTCGGGATGGTGTTGCAGTGCGAGAAGAAACCCAGGCAGGGCCCCATACTACTCCCAATTAATGGGCCTCCCTGCCCACCAATCTCCCAGGATATATCGGACTCATCCGTGACCCCTCCCTAGCTAGGGCCCGACCCGAGGGAAGGTCCCCCACCACGAGGGCCCCCACCAAGAGGGCCCCCCACCCTGCGCCACAACTAGTACATTGCCTCCGACATTTCCACTGTATATTTAGTGTGATGTCAGGTGGCGCGGTGGGTGGGTGTGTTGCTCCGGTCAGTGACTTGTGTTGAGCCAACCTTTCCTAGCATCACCTTCCCACTCATCTGTAAGTTAACTAGTGACAGAGGAGGTGACAGACGTATCTTACACAAGTTATCTTTCAGGCTATCTATCGCGATAACCAAGTTATATTATATAACTAATCTTGTTTGCTTTCTGAAATCGGGAATCTGGTGATTTCCGTTCCTTTCTCCTTCCCAAGTACTGGAGTTACTCTCTTTGTCCAAGGTATCGTAGTGAACGATGAATGTACCTACGATAGCAGTGATGCACTTGCGATAACAATGCACCTTGATAGCCAGATACGCCTACTATAATAATGCACCTACGATAACAGAATTGCACTTACGATAGCAGGACTGGCACTTACGATAGCAGGACTGCACTTACGATAGCAGGACTGCACTTACGATAGCAGGACTGCACTTACGATAGCAGGACTGCACTTACGATAACAAGAATGCGTCTGTGATTACAGGAATGCACCTACAATACAAGGACTGATTTATGGTGTCTCAGTGGTAATGGGCGTTTTTTTTTTTTTTTATTTTTTTTGGGGTTGTTTTAAATTTGGGGGTTTTTTTTTTTTGGGGGGGGGGGGGTGGGGGTAAAAAAGGGGGGGTTTTGTTTATTAAAAACACCAATGACAGTCAGATCCAGACAGGTTGAGAAAGATGGTAAGCCTATCTGAACCATTGTCCCGGTTCACCTAACTGTAAATTGGTACCTGGGCGAGACACTCTTTACACCTGTTGTCCCTGTTCACCTAGCAGTAAGTAATGGCCAATATTAGATTTAAGAATGATGTAGGAAAGTATTGGTTTGGAAATCGTAATAACTCGTAGACGTAGAGGATTGAAACCTATGACAACTTTCGGTCCTAACCTCGACACACGATATGCAGCCGGGAGGTTTGGTGTGCTAAGTCTGACCGGAAACGTGCGATCAATTTGTCTCCTGTGTGCAAGTTTTTGTGTTCGTTCAAAGTTACTGTATTGTCGACTTATTACACGGTGTTGTCTGTCTTTTCTGTCTGTCTCTTGTCTGTCTCTGTGCTTCTCTTGCCTCTGTCAATCTGTGCCTGTTTCTCTGTCTCTGTCTCTTCTCTCTCTGTCTCTCTCTCACTGAGGTTATTAACCCTAGAGGGAGTGAGTTGTAAGTCGCAATAATGTATTCTCCTCCACGTCTCCTCCATTTCTCCTTCCCTTCTGTACCTCCATCACTTCCTCTCTTCTTCCATCAATTTTTTTCCCCCTCCCTAAGGCATCTTACGAGGCTTCTGCTTTAAGATTTCTTCTCCAAGGCTTCCTTAGAAGCATCCTCTTCAAGGGCTCAAGGTTTCTTTTAAAGGCTTCCACAGTGTTTCTTATTTAAGACTTAAACATATTCAAGGCTTCTCCAAAAATTCTTCAAGATATCTTCTTCAAGGCTCCATATTGAAGCCTACTTCAAGGTTTCTTTACGGCTTTCTCAAGGGTTCTTCAAGGCTCCATATTGAAGCCTACTTCAAGGTTTCTTTACGGCTTTCTCAAGGGTTCTTCAAGGCTCCATATTGAAGCCTACTTCATGGTTTTCTTTACGGGCTTTCTCAGGGTTCTTCAAGGCTCCATATTGAAGCCTACTTCAAGGTTTCTTTACGGCTCTCTCAAGGGTTCTTCAAGGCTTGTTCTTCAAAGGAATCAAAACCTTTTTTTTTAAGGGTATTTTTCAATGTTTCTTCGAAGCCTTTTTTTTCGTGGGTTTTTTAAGACTTATTTTCATGGCATCAGTGTATTTGAATATTTGATTTCACATTTTCATGTCATCACACAAAAAAAAAAAACGTTAATGTGGCTATTTGTTGAATCGCCTACGTCATGTATATTGTAAACAACAGGTGTCCTCAGTAGGTGACAGCCATTGGGACGCACTGGTGTGTCCTCACGCTTAGTTCGCCTTATGTAAACTCAACCCTCATGGGAGGTTCCTTGATGCTGGTGAGGGGGCTCTTGATCTTGGAAATTGGATCTGTGTTGCAGTTCCCTGCGTTGAACCTGAATACCTCCCTCTCCCCCATAGGCGCTGTATAATCCTTCCGGATTATACAGCCTAGCTGTAAACCATGCTTCGATCTAGGAATTTTTTTCCTCGTATACCCTGTGCTGCTACTTTCATTCAGTTGACACTATCATACAAAACCGTTATGAAATTCGTGTATTCGGTATGTATTCATTATTATCGTGTATCTGCTCAGACAACTTACAGAACAATACTATATGCTCATTGATCAACTTATATTTCACGGTGGCTTGAAATTGCTTCTGCAGTAATTAATTCCATATTTTTTTCCGCACATTGTAGGTTAGGCTTATTGGCCTATAATTCGAGGCTAGCAACCTATCTCCTGTTTTGAAGACGTATTATTTTTGCCATTTTTAACTTATCCGGTAGAAAAAATCTATATGTAGTGATACGTTGAAAAAACTAGCCAATAGTTTGCTAAATTCCTCCTTACATTCCTTAATAACTCTGGAGAAGAGTATCAGGACCTGGGGAAATATTTATATCAGAAAACCATGTCACTAGTGACTTGATTTTTTTTTTTAATTTCGCTTGTAAATTACTCTGAAAAATGCCATTAACATTTGTTCTAATGTTCAAGTTTATATTTCAAGTCTTCTTTAAGGCTTCTTCAAGGTTTCTTCTATTCTTCCTCAAGGCTTTTGACTCGTATTAAGCGCATTCCTCAGTATTTTTATTGCAACTGATGATTGGTGTTGGTCCCCACATTCCAGCAGCAACATTCCAGCAGCAACATTCCAGCAGCAACATTCCAGCAGCAACATTCCTCACTGGTGACTCGTGTTTGTGACCACTACACACTAATTTATATATTATTCAGGACTCTGTGTCCGACTACGGTGATCTTCACACCAACTAAAAGACTGAGGGACTGATTACCTCATCTTTTGTATATAGTTCTTATCTTCCAGTCATGTTCTGGAATTTGTATTGATAAAACCACTGGATGGCGAAACGTCTACAATAAAGATAGCCAGATGTTGTACATGTGTCTAATTTTGAGAGAGTGAGTTAGGTACCTCAAGTTAATTATTAGTGAACACCAGGTTAATGTTCACACTTAAATATACTCTTGTTCACTTGATCATAATGAACAGCTTTTAATCCACGGAAGTAGTTATTCTCTCTTTCCTCGAATCAAACTTGATTTTTTTTCACTTTACAAAGGACGCTGTATGACCCTTACGGTTTTAGCACTTCTCCGTGAATGTAATAAGGATGCAAGGCTCTTGATCCAGGGACTTGGATCTACCTTCTTGTTTTCCACAGATCACACTTATTTTTTCTAAAAATTCTTAAGTGTCGTATAATCCCTCAAGGTTTAGTGCAAAATAATAAATACTACTAATAATATAAAATAATAATAATGCAATGCTGATAAAGATATGAAATATAATAAACAGTTTAGTTATTATACAAAGTGTCCACAAAAACACTCCCTGATGTCAAACAGTTATAACATTTAACTTTATTGTCATAATCTTTCACATTTAGTAGCTTCAGATGCAGGATTATATTCATTACATGTGGTAATGGTAACATTACAGACACTCAATGTGCCTGTAATGCTACTCGTGACATCTGCAAGTGGCCTGCGAGGTCACCGGATCTGTTTGTGACTTCTTTCTTTGGGGGTACAGTGAAGAGCACAGGTCACGTACCACCACTACCTGCAACCCTGGAGGACCTGAAAATTTCGACCATAACACCAGATATGCTGCAGAGCGTCTGCACCGAACTGGACTATCACATCGATGTTTACCGAGCAACCAGAGGGAGGCACATTGAGCGCCTGTAATGCTACCCTATACCACATGAAACTGAATATAATCCTGCATCTGAAGCTACTGACTGAAAGATTATTACAATAAAGTCACATGTTATAATTACGATAATTTGTAGGAATTTGAAATATTTAAGCCAATTAAGACGTGAAAAAGTGAGTGTGACCATAGTCAACACTAGCCAGACGTGAGTGTGACCATAGTCAACACTAGCCAGACGTGGTGTGACCATTTAGTCAACACTTAGCCAGAACTGAGTGGAACCATATCACCAACACTAGCCAGACGTGAGTGTGACCATAGTCAACACTAGCCAGACGTGAGTGTGACCATAGTCAACACTAGCCAGACGTGAGTGTGACCATAGTCAACACTAGCCAGACGTGAGTGTGACCATAGTCAACACTAGCCAGACGTGAGTGTGACCATAGTCAACACTAGCCAGACGTGAGTGTGACCATAGTCAACACTAGCCAGACGTGAGTGTGACCATGAGTCAAACACTAGCCAGACGTAAGTGTGACATACTCATCGACTAGCCAGACGTGAGTGACCATAAGTCACACTAGCCAGACGTGAGTGACCATATCAACACTTACCAGTAACGGAGTGTGACCATCAGTCAACACTACCAGTACGTGAGTGTGAACCATAGTCCAACACTAGCCAGACGTGAGTGTGACCATAGTCAACACTAGCCAGACGTGAGTGTGACCATAGTCAACACTAGCCAGACGTGAGTGACCATAGTCAACACTAGCCAGACGTGAGTGACCATAGTCAACACTAGCCAGACGTGAGTGACCATAGTCAACACTAGCCAGACGTGAGTGACCATAGTCAACACTAGCCAGACGTGAGTGACCAGAGTCAACACTACCAGACTGAGTGACCCATAGTCAACACTGCCAGACGTGGTGACCATAGTCAACACGAGCACAGATGTGAGTGACCATACTCCAACACTACCAGACTGAGTGTGACACATACTCAACACTATCCAGACGTGGAGTGACCATAGTCAACACTAGCCAGACGTGAGTGACCATACTCAACACTAGCCAGACGTGAGTGACCATACTCAACACTAGCCAGACGTGAGTGACCATACTCAACACTAGCCAGACATGCTCAAACTATCACTGTTATATTTCAGCACATGTGACACAAGAAACACAATGTTGTCTGAGGCACAACAGAAATAATGCAACACAAACTGCAACTATACGAGGAAAACAATTTTGGTTTGCTGTGAGGGAAGCGAGTGCCAGTTACATCATTGCTGAAGATTAGTTCCAGTGTGACAGCACCAGGAAGGCTGCCATGGGTGCCATTATTAACAAACCTGGCACAGCAAGGTTAGTTGATGTGGTCGCTGTTGTTTGTTGACGGTTATAAGGATCATTCGCCCCCCTGCAAGCCCGACCTTACAAACACCGGCACTCATAAAATAAATAGCAAGTGGTCAAGGAAACCATTGAGAGAGAGGGAAGTGAGGAGGGTCATACCCCAGAGTACATATATCCTCAAATTAATATACTATTCGTCGCTGGGCTGTATGTTTTTCTCTTATGTATAACGTCATATACATGTAATCGAAGTACTGTCCATACAGTTGATATATACACAGGTGGTGAGAAGCAGTGTTGATAATATAAACTGTTGTGAGAGTAATGTTGATAAATATCACTGAGTTGTGAGAGTATGTTGATAATATACACTAGTGGTGAGAGTAATATTGATAATATACACTGTTGGTGAAAGTAGTGTTGATAATATACATTGGTGGTGAGAGTAGTGTTGATAATATACATTGGTGGTGAGAGTAGTGTTGATAATATACACTGGTGGTGAGAGTAGTGTTGATAATATACACTAGTGGTGAGAGTAATGTTGATAATATACACTAGTGGTGAGAGTAATGTTGATAATAATACACTGTTTGGTAAAGTAGTGTTGATAATATACATTGGTGGTGAGAGTAGTGTTGATAATATACATTGGTGGTGAGAGTAGTGTTGATAATATACATTGGTGGTGAGAGTAGTGTTGATAATATACATGGTGGTGATAGTAGTGTTGATAATAATACACTGGTGGAGAGAAGTAGTGGTTGATAATATACACTGGTGGTGAGAGTAGTGTTGATAATATACATTGGTGGTGAGAGTAGTGTTGATAATATACACTGGTGGTGAGAGTAGTGTTGATAATATACACTGGTGGTGAGAGTAGTGTTGATAATATACATTGTTGGTGAGAGTAGTGTGATAATATACATTGGTGTGAGAGTAGTGATTGGAGAATATACATTGGTGGTGGAAGTAGTGTTGGATAATATACACTGTGGTGAGGAGAAAGTGTTGATAATATACACTGGTGGTGAGAGTATGTTGATGAATATACAATTGGTGGTGGGAGAGTAGTGGTTGATAATATACACTGGTGGTGAGAGTAGTGTTGATATATACGGCTGGGTGGTGAGAAGTAATGTTGATAACTACACTTAGTGTTTTGTTTATCAGCAAAAAAGTGGTGGATGATGGATGTGGCACAAGAAAGCCTGTTGTCTACGCAGTGTTGACTTTCATCTTCATTCCAGTATATATACTGGTATTGACCCTGGGTATAGTGGAAGGTGGGGTGGGGGTGAGATGTGGGTTTTTTTTATTGTGACGCAGCCTGGGGTGGTTGTGGGAGGTAGGGGGCTAGTGACGCAGCCTGGGGTGGTGTGGAGGAGTAGGGGGTCCAGTGACGCAGTCTAATGGGGGGGGGTTGTGGTGGAGTAGGGGGCTGTGACGCAGTCTAGGGGTGGGTGTGGAGGAGTAGGGGGCAGTGACGCAGTCCTAGGGTGTTGTGGAGTAGTAGGGGCCAGTGACGCAGTCTAGGGGGGGTTGAGGTTCAATCTTTAAAGGGGATAGCTACTTGAACCTAGATCCAGCAGGGGCAGGGACGGCATAATATGAAAGTCGAGTCAGTCAGTCTCTCTCTCTTTTCTCTCTCTCCTCTCTCTCTCCTCTCTCTCTCTCTTCGTCGTTCTCGTCTCTCTCCGCTCTCTCTCTCTCTCTCTCTCCTTCTCTCAACCAGTGTTACATTTATTTACGAGTAAGTCATGTATATGCAACAGTTGGGTATTTTTATTTGGGAATATTGTCGACAGTAAAGATCTTTATTATTGTACATGTGTCTGTCCCGTCGTCTACTTGTCGGTATTGTACGTATATAATTATTATAATTATTACAACTGTGGCATTAACAAGCTAGGAGCTGTTTCCTCCCACAGCTCATTTTATAGGCAGGCACAAATGCAGTTATAATGCGATCCATTATTGACTACATTCCACCCACACAGTGGGCTTTATCAGGTCACAAACAGCTGAGTTGAGTGTGTATACTTTCACTTAAGTCCACATCAGTGCCACCACTGTGATGTCTCTGTCGCCCCGCCCATGACCACCACTGTGATGTCTCTGTCGCCCCGCCCATGACCACCACTGTGATGTCTCTGTCGCCCCGCCCATGAAGTGGGACGACAGATGTTGCTAATTTGTTCAGACATTAAATCTCTAAAGAACCAATGGTCCTGTCTGCTAAGTTCCCCTTGGTGTCGACACTGTTCCCCTTGGTGTCGACACTGTTCCCCTTGGTGTCGACACTGTTGCCCTTGGTGTCGACACTGTTCCCCCTGGTGTCGACAATTCCTGCTGGTGTCTGCACTGTTCCCCCTGGTGCACCCACCTATGACAGTAATCACACCTGGCGTCTCAGACAGCTCTCAGTGGTGACAGTTGGAACATTGTCTGGGTGCCTGTGTTTTTGTTGCTGATTCGACAACTGGTGTCTTAGTATGTATGATTTGTTGCTGATTTTTCTGGGCTGTGCTAGCTAGATAAGAGACGACTGTGGGTGCTATCTTATTCCTCTCTACTCGGTCCTCATCCAACTCCTGCAGCTGTGCTTTGGCCCGGCATTATGCTCAAGAGTCATAATCAGTCATCCAGTTCTTAGTCATGGCAGCCACAGGTGGAGCAAAACCTGACTCTGTGTTCACAATTATAGTGATATGAGGTGTGCTGGTGTTGGTTTAGTGAGGTGTATGGTGTTGTTAGATGTGTACTGGTGTTGGTGTGGAGCTGTCAGATCCAGGTTCCTTCAATGTTTTGAGAAAGGATCGTCCCTCGCACTGTAGCGGCCAAAGAAGATGCAAATGAATTTTTTATATCTACATAGTTCGTAGGGCGATCAAGATTTCCACCAATGTTTTGCTGTTGCTTTTCAGTCTCGGTGTTAGAATTTCATCATACCTTATCACTAGTGACATCAGTCTGAGCATGTCTGCGCTTCCATGAATTGCTTAAGAAAGATGCTCCTTTCGTTTTGACCTTCCGTCAAGGAAAGAGCATTCCAAACACTAAAAGAGAAAGCTAACGTCCTGCCCATTATAGTAACCCAAGTTTTTTTTTTTTTTTTTTTTTTTATACGTATAGGGGAAATCCAGTAGCTATACCTGACATTCACTTTGTAGATGTGATCTCGTTCTCATAATGAATTCAAGACCGATCTGATGACTTTAACAGCTGCAAAAGGATTCCCTTCTTAAATATCTTGGATGGCAAAGCTTGCAACAAAGCCCAATGGTTCATTGTTGATAATTTAAAGGAGTACTCCTGAAATTCCCACATCCGGTCAATTGTGTTGTCATGTTGGTCCTGATGCCACCTGTCCAACACAAGCTTCCTGTCTCGCATATTGTCACAGCAAAACCTGGACGGGTAGCTTCCCAACAATCAAGTTATATCCGGCTTCTTTGTTATACATCCACAGATGTTGAAATAACTTTTTTGGACATTGCCCGGATGGTGAGTTTGCTCCTGCAATTTCACGATGCGAAGTAATTGCCAAAAAAATAAATATTACATAACATACGTGTGAGAGAGGTGTAGGCACGCGCCTCTCTGGAGGTTGCTACTCATCACTTATTTCATGTTTGTGTCATCCATTAACTTTGTTTCAGTGAAGGCAATACACCAGCCATACGTATTTTTCATTAATGCATCGTTACGTTGTATTATACAGATAGACATGACTGATAAACACACTACTGATATGTGCATTATATAGCCAGTCGCTCAGCTTGATGCTGGCAACACAGCAGACGACTTGCAACACAGCCGCTACACTTGTTGAAAATGACACACTTAAATGTCACTGTTCAGTTCGATTGCAAGTACTGTCTTTCATGATGCACAGTGTTGCTTGATGCGCAGTGTTGCATGATGCGCAGTGTTGCATGATGCGCAAGTGTGCTTGATGCGCAGGTGTTGGCTTGATGCGCAGTGTGCATGATGCACAGTGTATGCATGATGCGCAGTGTTGCTTGATGCGCAGTGTTGCATGATGCACAGTGTTGCTTGATGCACAGTGTTGCATGATGCGCAGTGTTGCATGATGCACAGTGTTGCATGATGCGCAGTGTTGCATGATGCACAGTGTTTGTCTTGATGCGCAGTGTTGGCATGATGCTCATTGTTGCATGATGCACAGTGTTGCATGATGCACGAGTGTTGCATTAAGCGCAGTGTTGCATGATGCAGGACAGTGTTGGCTTGATGCGCAGTGTTGCATGATGCAACAGTAGTTCTTGGATCGCAGTGTTGCATATGCGCATGTTGCATGATGCGCAGTGCTGCATGATGCAAACAGTGTTGTCATGATGCGCAGGTGTTTGCATGATGCACAGTGTTGCTTGATGCGCAGTGTTGGCATGATGCACGAGTGTTGCTTATGCCATGTTGCATGCTGCGCGTGTTGCATGATGCCACAGTGTTGCATGATGCGCAGTGTTGCATGATGCGCAGTGGAAAGTCTCGGTTAGATGATGTGGGTCATCATATAACTAAGACCCACATTAGGAAATATTTGTCCTGTGTCCTGACAAACCTATACCTAACCTGATTCACTCTCTCTCTCTCTCATGCAGGTGTTCGCGTCTCTCTCTCGTCGTCTCCTTTCATCTCTCCTCTCTCTTCGAGGCCCTACACATACACACAATCCACACTCACAGGTACCAGAGGCAGAGGTCCCAACTGTGAGAAGAGATTAGAGGAACTAAATCCGATATCATTAGAAAACAGGGGGCGACATAATTATGACGTACAAAATACTTAGAAGAATACACAGGGTGGACAAGGAGAATCTGTTTGAGAGACGGGTCACGGGTACACAAGGGCACAGCTAGAAGTTAAGAACTCAGATAGTCACAGGTTGTTAGAAAAACCTCTTTAGCCTTAGAATAGTTACGGAATTGAACAACCTAGAGAGGAAGTGGTCGACTTAGGATCTATAACATCCTTTAAGA